TAAAATCACAATATTGAGATTTTTATACCTAATCGGTTTTACATTTATGAACATTTACGGTGTGTTTACCATATTTATGTACATATTTACATCTTAAACCATACATATGTACACAATGTAAATACAGAAATATATATACAACTTCGCTATAACTATATTTTGTACAATTGACATTAACAATAAAAAAATAACTATCTTAAACATTTATACACAGCACCTACAAATCAAATTACACTACGCATTTGATTTGGCACGTCGAGAACAAGCAGACACCTTTATCCGAAGTGCCAATTCAAATACACGTTTGATGGACGTTTAACAACAGGAGGTTTTCACTGCAGTAACTCTGTCATATTGTCTCTCTCTGTCATTCCTGTCATTCTCTTTGAGGAAATAGAGACAAAGACAAATGTGCAGTAGAAACCTCATTTTCTAGAAAATAAGGTAGAAGTATCATTAGTCGTTAGCCCCGCATGCGTTGGATGACATTCCTTACGCAATAGACCGCGCTCACGTCTGACTAAACTATCGCACAACTGTTTAGTAGCACTTTGATTCCTATGAGCCTATATAGTTACATTATTTTTAGTTGTTCAACTAATTTTGAATTGGCTGCGAAACAATAGACAATCGTACTATTGTGCGATAGTTCAGTCAAACATGTGCGCCCTTATACCCGACAACTGAATCCCTGCACGATTCTTTCTTTATCGACCTTTTTTATGAGTCGTTATCCCGCATGCGGGGACTCCCCGTATACGTAGGACTAAGTTGGCAATAACGAATTTACGCCTTAAAACGAGTAATTTTCAATTATTTAAATAGTACAATATTTTATTACATTATTGCTTCTGTTTACACCAGAACCGCGTTTACTGCGTGACTAAAAATTACACTTTTTAATATAGACTAGCATTTACGGCAAGATAACTGTTTCCCCAGTCTAAATATACATAGAGAAATGTATTATATCTCCGTTTATTTCGTACAGAATAAAATATGACCATTGAGATCTATTCGGATATAACTTATAATGTAGTGAAATAATTTCTTTGTTCCCAAAACTCAAAAACTTTAAAAAACATCGCCAATCTTTTATTAATTAAAATATTTTTTAAACTAATAAATTAAATGCAATCATTAAAAATATTTTATTGCCCACCTAAAGGCACGTTCTGTTCTTTACCCAGCGATAATCCAGACCTCAAGAAGACTTAAAAGTAGCGACATATTGCAAACAATTGGAGCATAATGTCATCCTTCCTGGCCTTACAATAATCACGTAGAGTCGTGCACAATTTTAAATCTTATTGTTTTGATATATAACTTTAAATTTTCGTGGATTTTACGAATATAATGTTCATAAAATACCGGTTCCTTACCAAGATCAGGTTATTTTAGCTTGGGCTTTTTTTATATCGGAAGCTAAAACAAACCCAATCGTAAACTCTCATCTTACAAACATTATATTTATTGTTTTGGCTTCATTTTTACGACCGCTTGCCTGTCTTGTCCACTTGGAAGAAAGTAATTAAATTCGTATGTGTAAACGCTTATATTATTGCAGTAGTCCCATAAACTGTTATATGCTGTAGTCCTATAAACCTTATGAATAAAATCTTTTTAAAATTATTTTTCCACCGTGCATTTTTTGTATAGAATTATTGATTTTCGTTTCTCATAAAAAAATTCTTCTTGAATATGATCACCAAAAAAAACTGTAAATTCAAATTTAATTACAAACATATGTTTGTAAATTGAAATGTTTACAACCGTGGTCCGAGTCTCCGCCTGTTTGTATCTCGTAATACTAAAGTCCTTCGCACACAAGGCGCTATACATTTTCGAAACCTGCCGATTTAAGTCGTTATTACTTATGTAATATGTCATAGACTACAAGCACGCGTCGTTGTGTGAGCGCACACACCTTTGACTGAACTATCGCACAACTGTTTAGTCGCACTTTGATTCCTATGAGTTTATATGGCGCCCACTACTCGATTTTTAGTTATGCAACTAAACAGTTGTATTTTCAGCAATCGCACACAGTTGTGAAATAGTAGACAAAGATGTGTGCTCACTCTAAGTCTGTCAGCTTAGCCAGCAACCTGTGGCTGTCAAAGCCAGTGGCTTGCAGTCGTGAAAAGTCGCTGCAATTTTCAAGATGGCCGAAATCTATACTGACAGAATAGACGATTCGTGACGGCGATCTATCTAGTACGGAACACGATACTCGCGACTAAAAGATGCGTTGGTTTCAAAGATTTACGTTGCCTTGTTACGTAAAAAGGTACTAAATTGCAGGGCGACGAAAGACTAAAAAGGAAAAATGCGTTAAAAAATTCTAAATGTTTTTAAATTAAAAGCTATATTTTTTTAAGGGAAATGTCGCTCTTTCAACCTTCAGTCTGCGATATTTCTCGATAACCTTTTACCTTAATTTTTTTCCAGATTTCAGTTGACTTTACATCTTGATTGCAAGAAAACCTATAAGAATGTATAATGAAAATGTTTTGGACCCGCCGATATCGAAAATGAAGTTAATATTATTACAATTTTTTGTAGTTTAAAACAATGAATATATATTTTTATTACGAAAATTAAACATATTTTTACGGATTTTATAGCATTTACATATCCGATGTTTTAATTTTTAATGGAATATGTGAAATCAAAAATTATAGCTATAAATACAAATTGTTTTGAAATCAATATATTTTAAACTACATATATATCGTAAGGAAATAAATACAATAAGAGTAATATGTAAAGGGAAATTTTTCTGGAAATATTTTCGACATATTTTTTTTATTTATTTCACTTTAGTAATGTTGCATTTGGGATTTTATAATCCCATAGTTTTTATTTAACCTTGTAAAACTTCCTTGTTAAGCTTTGTTTATTTATAGAAGGTTTACAGTTTATAATAATCGGGGATGTTCTTGTCTTGGGAAAATAAAAATTAAATAAAGGCGATAAAATCCGTAAAATTAGTTTAATTTCAATATACATACTTATTTAATTTCAGTTCCTATTTCCTATATTCATAGACGAGTACAGTATACCTTTTATTGCTTACTTAGTCGTTAACGGTCACTAAAGGATACTTTAGTATAGACTTAATGAAACCTACACTAACGGTTTGTTTTAGTAATCATTAAACGACTCTGAGTTCGGCAATCAATGAACTTTTCAAACGTGATTTTGTTAACACTTTATCGTTAGTATATTTTACTACAAAAATATAATTCAATAGTTCTGAAAACTGAAAAATTTAAAACTAAATGTGTATTTATAATCGTGACAATAAGTTTACTGTCAGTATATAAAAATACCAATTATCAGAAAACCCTATTTCTATAGTTAAAATGGGCGTCGCCAGTAGGGGGGTGGCTGTTACCCCCTAGAGAGAAAATTGTCCAATACTAATAGATCTGTGGGGTAACAGAAATAATACGAAATGAGTATATTAGAGGAAGTTTGAGTAGCTCCAGTGGTAGAGAAGGTAAGGAATAAAAGGTTAGTATGGTATGGGATTGTTACAAGATGAATCGCATGTAACAAGAACATAAGTTATGAGTGTGGAAAGGTACACCGGTAGTAGACATAGAAAGAGATGGATGGATTGCAAAAGGCGACATGATCAAGAAGGGAGTGATGACTGAGATGACGTATGATAGAGTGAAGAACAAAAACCTGTTACGCCGACCCTACGGGAATAAGATAAGGGGATGATGTAATTAATAGTAATAAATGAGCCCCTATTAAGCCCCAAAAACAACTTGTCAGGTGTCTCAAAGAACACGCACTCTATAATTTGTATATATATTTTTTACTACATACTAAGGGGGGAGGGGGCATCGACCATAGGCTAGCGACACCCATAACTAATATTTCATTATCTAATAACCAACCATAAGAGAGATGCCACAGATACTGTAAAATTGCACATGCCTGTTATGTCTCCATGATAAATATTGTAAAACTAAGGGCCTGTCCCACTAAATTGTAAATTGTCTGATAGCAATCCAACGCCAAAAACGTGGTGGAAATATCGGATTTTATTCCCTTATCTGACATTGACGTCATTTTTAAGCTATCTGTGCCTCTATCAGTGGTGGGATAGGCCCTAAATGTTTTTTTAGTACAATATGTTGAATCGTATAATAAACTATTTTGAAGTATACTGTTATTGCACCTATGGGTCGAGATAAAACTGCACGGGTTCTCCCAACATATCCATTTTTCAACAAAAGGGTTCTAACCAATCCAATCCAGTGGACCTTTTAAGAGTACAGTAAACACTCAGTATTCCCACAAATGTTTCCTATTTTAATATCTTAAAAACCTAATCTTGTTCAAAACTTTAAAAAAACATGCTACATTCTTACAAATAATAAAATCACTCTTTTACAATTTTTATTAATTATATTCTGATAGCAATTAAAAAAAACTAACTTACAAAGTTTAAACCAGTTTGAACCAATTGAAACAGTTTAGTGTAATGGTTTGAACCGGTTTAAACTAGTTTTAACCAGTTTTTGGTTAACGAATATTCAACGAAAGATTTTGTACCATTTGTGGTTTTACTGAGGGTGTACTGTACACTCATCTGCATAAATATTTATAGATTTACAAAATTTTAGAAACTCTTATAGGGGTTCGGTTTCAAAATTATACACGAATTTTTTATTAATTTCTAGACAGAAGGATACAAACATCTATACTAATATTAAAAAGAAAAATGATTTGTATTTTTGTCTGTATTGTAATAACTCAAAAACTACTAGGCCAATTTAAAAAATTCTTTCAATGTTAAAAAGATAATTTCTCTGTGAGTAACATAGGCTATATTTTTTAACTTCAAGCGGGCGAAGTCGCAAGCAACAGCTAGTATATTAATATTGTTGTAACCGAAAGTTTCTAATATTTTATGAATATATACATATTTATACAGCTGACTGTACATAGGTTATGAATAAAATAACTCCAAACCTAACTAATAGAGGATCATATTATATTTTTAGAAATGTTTCAATAAAACTATTTAACATAGCCACAATCCGTAGCAATGCACTTCACTTCACAACACATCACCAGCACATCACCAAAATCTCTGAGGCCGAGGTCCGGGCCACCTGTTCGGCCTAGGTCCATTCCTAGGCCAGAACTGGGGCGTAAAAGGCCTGAAATTAGTCCTAGGTGTCCAATTTCTTGGGAAACGTTGGTTCAACAACGGTCTTGGTTGAGGCCACTCAGAATACTCCGGAGGTGAAGGGTTCCTTCTTTCCATATTAATTTCCGCACCTGAATGTCTTAGATCTTCATCAAAAACATCGAAATCTTCTTGATTTGTATATAATTTCGGTGGTGGAACATTAAACTTTGGTTCCTCTACTTCTCTTCTATGTATGAATTGGTTATTCTGTTCGTTGGTAGTTTTCCCATTATCACCTCCTACGAGAACTTTGTTATTGTTGAAACTTAAACGTCTGTGTTCTGCGTTCGCTGGCGACGGATACAAACCTTCTGTGAACAAAAAAACTATTAATCTATTATTTTTTTAAAGAAGAAATGAAGAAAAAAAAACTATATAAACTACTTACTAATATTTACAGTATGTACGCGATTAAACTATCAATCGGATTTGAAAAATTATATTCGTATACGAAAACTTAATAATTAAAAAATATAAACCAAAGAGTTTAATAAAATATACATATAGAGGAGGCATAGTTGACATTTCACTTGAAAAGTTTTTACATAATCTCATTAACGCTATCTATTCATATATACCCAAAAACACATATCAATATAATTAATTGTATTTAGTTGCAAGTGTCAACTTTTTTATATATTTTTTTTCACTGTATTTCATAATAAAAACTGGAGCTTATTACAATTTTGTATTACATGTCAACTGATATAGTACCTTTCAGAGAAACTACCGGTGAAAATGTTCTATACCTCGTCTATATATTTTTAAACATCTGTATTAAAAAAGAATATCTATACTAATAACATAAAGAGGAAAACTTTGTTTCCTTGTAATGAATAGGCTCAAAAACTACTAGGCCTGTTTTAAAAATTCTTTCACCATCAGAAAGGTAATTTATCTGTGAGTGACATAGGCTATATTTTTTTCAATTATTATTATTTAATTTCACGTAGACGGAATCGCGGACAAAAGCTAGTAGACTATAAAATATCACGCTGCGACTTATAGGAGCGAAATAAAAATAAAAATGTAAAAACTGAATATCCATAATTAAGGTAGTTGAAATGTAAAACCTGAATTCTCAGTTAGTATATAATGTTCCTTACGAAGGTCCTCGTCCTCGGACAGGTCCATGTCTACACTCTCCACGATGTCGCTGGGCGCGCTCAGCGGCGGCACGCGGTAGTCCTGCAAAGTATATATACATATATATATACACATATATAGTTATCTATATATACATATATTTGTCAAATTTCTCAGTTGCAAATGTCAAAATACAAATTACCTTACTATTTTGCTTCCTTGACGTTGACAGCAACTTATGGTCTCTTTAAAAACCCTAATATGGATTAGGGTTTTTATCTAAATTATTTACCCCCTAAGTATAATGGCGTGAAAATATATAGCCTAAAGCGTGTCGTAAGTGTAGAGCTTTTTATTAAAAAAAGAATTATTCAAAAATATGTAATTGCTGACATCTTAGGCAACATAGTGTGTTTACGTTTTATTATAATAGTATATTATGTTATAGTAAAATGTGAAGTTTATCTCGTAAGTAATTAGGGAATTATTCTGTAAGTGTCACACCGCTAATTTCCGCGACTGTACTTTAAAAAACCTTACAAATCGGAATAATATAAATAATTTACTTACTTGATCTTTAATCTGCCGAGTGGTTGTCGTCAGCTGATGTGTTAGTGATATTAAATTCCTATGGTCGACATCTATAAACAAAAATATTAAACATATCTAATAAATACAATCCTAACAAAAACACCAGACTCCGAACCTATTTGTATGTATTTTCAAATAAAATAAATTTGTTTTTAAAACCGTTATTTTTAGTTATTTTTGCTAAATATCCTTAGTTGATTTACCAAGTCTATGCGATTTGTAACTCTACATTTACTTAGGTATCTTTGTAATCGTGTTTTTATATCAATGAGAGTTCGAATTAATTCCAATTATGATCCCAATGCTATAACCTTTTACATTCAAACTAGCTTTCGCCCGCGACTCCGTCCGCGTGGAGTTCAAAAAAACAAAAGTTAGTAGCCTATGTGTTCTTCCAGACTATCCTCTAAGTCTATGCCAAATTTCATGGAGATCCTTTCAGCCGTTTAGGCTACAAACTTTAACAAACATCCATCCATCCATCTAAACTTTCGCATTTATATTAGTAAGAAGTAAGCTTTGAAATTAAATTGTGTAATGCTGTAAAAAAAATTAAAAAAAATTGAAATACTACTCCCAAAAGTCGCTATCGTAGTCTAAAATAAAAATATTCTTTCAAATCCGATTAATAAGAGATTAAAACAAACAAACAATTTACATTAAATAATAAGTAACAAAAATATATCTACTCTATATTTACTATAAGGGTTCAAACAAACATATATGAACCCTGAGTTAAATGTTTATACATATGTTTATACATATAGCGTAACCAGGACAATAAAAAATCTTCAACGAACACATCGTAATCACTTTATACCAAAAACATTTAAGAAAAGACTAGGCAGTGAACAAAATTTTTCACCGGTAACAGAGAATATGCAAATTTTTACTTGTTTAAAACAAGTAATTGTTATAAAATAACAAGAAAAAACAATTGACTCCAAAACATTCAACCATTGAGCTAGAAATAATAAAATAAAATCATAAAATTTCGCCAATAAATCACATAATATTAAAAAAAAAAAAAAAACAGGTATTTTTTTATAGTAATAAAGAATACTTAAAAAAAGTTTGGTCCAATTTGACGTCATATGCATATTGCCTATTTCTTTGTCAGGTACTATACCAGTTGTCAAGATTAGTGCCTTGTGTCGATTGTATAGTGAGATTTTTTACATTCGTGGTTAGGCTATATTTTAATTTAAATAATATAAATTAGTATAAATGTTAACCTTGATGTGATAAGTTGTGCCGCACTGCTGATGTGACGGGGGGTGCGTGGGGCACAGGAAGTGCGGGGGGTGCGAGGGGTGGGTGTGGAGCGGGGGGTCCGTGGGGTGCGTGTGATGAGGGGTGCACGGGGGGCGCGGGGGGTGCCGCCAGCAGTCTGTGGTCGATGTCCTCTATATCTGAAATTAAATTTAAAATATTCTTTTACTATAGATACACATAATCCTTATAAAAAAACAGCTGTTCTATTGCGGCTTCATACGCGTAGAATTAACAGAAATATTGTTTTCATTTGTAGAACTTTATTTTGCAAATGTCAAAATTTAAAATCTTAAATAACAACATAAGCTAATGCCATTGGCTAACAATGACCATAACGGAATTTCTTCTTTTCTACTATTGGCTTGTAGCTTTGTCCCTTTCTCGCGTGACAATTTTTCCAATTTAATAACACCCTAAATTGAATAGCATGAAAATATATAGCCTATAGTGTGTCATAACTGTAGAGCTTTTAATTAAAAAAATAATAATTAAAGAACATATTATGATTGCTGACATCCTACGTTACAAATAAGCGTTAGTTTACACTTTATTATATTACTAGCTTTCGCCCACGACTCCGTACGCTTGGAATCTAAAAAAAAAGTAAAATAAGTGTACATCTATGTCAAATTTAATAAAAATCCATTCAGTAGTTTAGGCTACAAACTCAAACATCCATCCATCTAAACTTTCACATTTATAATATGTATACTAATACAATAAAGCGTAAACACACTTCTTTGTAGCGTAAGATGTCAGCAATAGCAGCATATTTTTGAGTAATTCCTCTTTTAATATATAGCCCTACACTTACGTCACGCTTTAGACTACATATTTTAACGCTATTAAACTTAGGGAGTCAATAAATTGGACAAAAACCCTAATGTGGGAAAAAGGCCATAAGCTACCAGCTGCCAATATCAAGGAAAAAGATCGCCATGGTAAGGTAATTGGTATTTTGACATTTGCAATTGAAAATTTGAAAACGTAAACAATGTATTTTTTATAATAACATGCGGATGAATCCGCATGGGAATAGCTAGTTAGTAATAAATATATAGGCATATGTAAGTGAGCATGAATTAAAAAATGTATTTACACCCTCGAAGTATAAAAAAAGGTTATTTAGTAATGCCACAATTTTGCCACAAGCATTGTCGTGTGGCAAATCTTACTGGTACTTACGTGTGAGTAGGGGCAGTGCGGGCGGCGGGGGCGGGGGC